TCATCCTGTTGCGCTAAACAGTCTTCACTGATCGCGATCGATCACTATTAGTCCTTAAACGTTTCACACGTGGCGCTTATGCTGAACGATTACGATTTCGCTTACACATAACTATCTTATAACGAAACAATCAGACACTATTCGACTACTAAACGTTAACAGTTAAATATCCTTAGGAATCTACGCATCTTAAAAATAAGGTAACAAATGTTTTCAGAAGAAACGAACGCGTTTACAAAATAAAGATCAACGGCTTAAACGTAAGAGTGTACAATATTTGAACTGTCTCCTTTGCGTGGTAATAAATTGTAGATTCTATTGGAATGAAAGATACGCGACTGTGAAGTTCGAGTGTATGAAAAAATACATCAACTATTTCCTTTCTAAAAAAATAAATCCATAGGAATCTTTCTGCTATCGGAACGTGCAATATCATCCTTCGCTTCATCGCAACTCGATCGATCATCGATCGTTAACGAACCTATCTGCGATATGCATTTAGGGGAAAGTAGAATCAAACCGGGTACCGTTGTTTTTCTAAAATAACATCTGATATGATATCAATTAATACGTAATATTAAATTGGAATGGCTTCTTGACGATACGAGATCAATTATGTATCATGGAACGCGTTCGTTTTTCTAACAGACAGTTTTGAAAATTTCAAGTGTAAAAGTTGGAAGGTCGTATCTGCTAATCGGTAATATTTTTCTATCAGGATTTTAAGATCGGTTATGATAAGTACAATATTCTTTTCTATAGTCTTTGTGGAATATTTTGGCGTTTCCCCTGATCTTTATCTGTCATTAAAATGTGAACATATAACGTTTAATAAATTTCTTTGTGTGGGACAAAATTTGGTATTTTAATACTACATCTACCGTAATGTAAGTTGATAAATGCTTTTTAATCTTTATACTCTACTTATTATTGAAAGAAAATGTATGCAAATTGCCATGCCTGCTCAACAAAGTGTTAATTAGTAAATCAATTATTCTATACTGATATGCTATTTATAAAGATGATGAATTTTGTTATAAAAAATATTTTTTAAAATCAGGAATATAGCTATTCTTAAAGAATACATATAAATCATAATTAATAATTTATAATAATTAAATATACTAATTAATAAATTGTAAATGATAAAAGAAGTTAAAAAGAAAGGATAATTATAAAATATTCAGTGATTTAAAGTATAATGTGTAAAAAATAAAACTATGAAATTACCACAAACATTCAGGAGAGTAACAATACTTTTACCTGTGATGTTTGTTCTCTAAATAAATTAAAATAGATTAAATATAAGTTAAAATAAGTAAGTAGCTAAAACAAGTTATATACAACTTAACGTGAGTTCAAATTTCTTAAAACTCGTTGAAATAATTTTTTAAAATTGATATTGAATTAATAGAAATAGAAAGTTAATAATTTTGCAAAATTATTGCAATTGGAAAATTTTGCATCGCTTTAAATGTGTGTGTACCCGGTTTTACCTTTACTTTCAGAGTAAAACTGACTGATTCAGCATCTTCCAAAAATCTTATTTCCCTTCGAACCAAATAATATTTTTAACAGAAGATTGTCATTTTCTCATTATGTAAGGTTTAATTAAGATTTCTGGCGGTGTCCAAAGTCTTTCCTGTCATTTAGTTTGCTAGCAGGAGAAATATATTAGGCACCTGGTTTTACCCTACTTTCCCCTACCTGTTATTAGCGCGTTGTATCTTTGGCAATAGACCTCTGGGCAGATTCGTCTTTAGCGATAAAATGAACATCGTGTCAGACTTGTTGGGATGTGATAAAGTCGGTTTTACTACAATTCTTGAGGATCGACGGTCCAGGAAGTTTCTGAGCTGTTCCAGACGTGCTCGAGGGTTGCACCATCATTGGTTGACCGTTCACCAGGACTATGGTGTCTCTTACGGAGTTGTACCCTCCCGATGGACCTGTGTTATAATTATCTCATGAAAGTCTAAATGGAATAAATATTTGTTTAATATATTAATCGGCTAAACATTTTTCAAACTAGATCGTAGTTCTCAAATTTTCATTTGAAGTTTCTATCAAAATTCGTACTTAAAATCTCGAGCAATTAAAATCTTTCATAAACATAAATCGACTTTTCTCTTGTAACAGTCTATTGATGAAATTAAAACTTGTTATTAGCGATAATGTTAATCAACGCTGTTTAGAATTACATATTGTAAAGTAGCAATGACAAATACGCAATTTTTCAATTGCTCCAAATTTTAGATATTGAAGAATAAATAAATATTCGAGATCTCCATAATCTGATTCGCGGTTCAGGAATTAAAATTGCGGAAGATAAAGAGCATACTAAGAAACAAAACTGTGGTAAGATATTTGATATCTATAATCCTATAATACTTCTGATGTCTTCTTTCAAGAAACATACCGATCTAAACTAAGTCAAAGTTGATCGATAAATGAGAATTTTTAAATAGACATAATTTTCTGGAACACTCTGATATTTAAGAGTAGCCTAAGTAATCGCCTCGGACGTATCCCATTATTGATCTCACCGACATACGCGTAGATGGAGACCCCTGTACAGGCCTGATAATCACGCCTAATGTAAGAAAAATAGCGCTTCCTAGCACCTGTGCATCGTGTCCCTTCGTTCGAGAATAATGACATCGAGTGTCTAGAGCGACTTATTATATCTAGATTAATTATCCCGATACCAGCCAAGTTAAATCCGATTACAGCCCAAGCTGATGAAAATTGCGCCCCGCGCGACCATGCAACCACTACGGCCTGTTTAATATCTGGATACACGTCCAGCCGGTTGATGGCGTTTAGTTGCACGCGACTGGAGCTTAATTAAGTCCCTAATTACCTGGCGACGGAGTGTGGGTGAGCGTTCTCGACGGAGTTCTGGCCGCGGGACCCCAATCAGAAGTTGGCTGCAAAAGCATCTTGGCACGACACCATACGCTCTTCAGCTCCTCTTCGTTTTTCCTTTGCCAGGTCTCTGGTACGATGGCCTGCTGTCCAGATCGTCGTCGTCATCGTCATCATCATCGTACGTTGAACGGCGACGTCTGTCCCTCAACTGATGCTGTAAAGAATGTATCAATGAATATCTGGTTATCGGATACGAAAAGGAAAACAAAAACTCACGTATATATCAATGAATAAATAAACGTGGATGGAGAGATAGAGAAAGAAAGAAAGAGAGTATACGTGGGCGCAAAGGAAAGTGGTTATGAACAATATATGCGTAGGTAGTAGAGCGAGGAATTGTGTTTTTGAGAGAGATCTGAACTTACAATAAGTACATATAAGTAACTCTAATCTATCAATTACCATAACAAATGGAACACGACAATCCAATAAATCACGAGTAATTCTGTCATATTAACGAATCCATTTTCACATTAGAATTACATGGGAAAATACTCGAGTACTAAAAGAAATTACGTCCAGGCAATCAAGAACTTTTATAATCGGCATCCCAATAATCGATATTCCAATAATCGACATTCCATTGTATCGTACCAATCCTGAAACTCCCATTCAATTCCTTCGACTTTAAGAGACCAGGTATTTTAAATGTTATCGTGTTCCTAAATTACTTTGAAAGCGACACTCGTGTTTCATTCGTTTCATTGTAAATAAAATCGAAAGGGTTAATTTCACTTACGAGGGCCAAGCCAACGATGACCAAAACAGGCATCATACCAACGACCCATCCAATGACGTCTGCCCATTTTGGATAAATGTAGGCACCGTATTTAAGAGGTTCATACTCGACCCAATTAAAGAACAGAATGAAGAAAAGTGTTGCTGGTGTAATCACTTTCCACATCCAGGTCCAGAAAAACCTCCACAGACGGCTGCGTGGACCGATCATTAACTGCACGTCGTCGAGGAATCGATCCGCACCATAGATCCAAGCGACCAAGATACACTCGCCTATGGCGATAAGCAGCACCGACCAATTCGCTGCGTATTTGTCCATCAGCTGCAGCCAGTACATACCAGCCTGAAAGTGTAATGGAAAATGACGTGCAATTATCGATTAATTTTGCAAGATATGATTTGTGTTTGCGAAATTAATTAATTTTGCTCTAGATTGTTCTGAAACTAATATAATTTATGTGAATTGTTAATTTTATGTCATGATCACTTTCATGAATATGAAATAGTATTAATTGATAATTGGAATTAACATTATTAATAATAAACAATTGCCGCGTTGAGTCAGAAATAGCCAACGGTTTCTAATATTATCTTTATGGTCAATTTACGTGACACGAATGTTTAGCGTGTTGATTTGAGTCTCTCAGTGGACAAAGATATATTCTTCTTTTGTGAACTTACATTGGTAGTGAAAATGATTCCACCGGCATAACCCAACACAGCTGCTGCTAGGACAACCCATAATTTATAATTTCTCAATGCTGGAAAGGCGTCGAGGATCGCTGTGGTGACGGTTTCCATCAATGCAAACTGAGAGTCAAGGCCCAATGTGAGGAGCATCGCGAAGAAGAGTAGAGACCAGAACGGTGCGACTGATAAACGAGCTACTACCTATATTTGATACATTTTTATTTGTTTTTACATTATCTATGAGAAATATGAGTCAAAAAGAAACCTTGAGAAAATTACATATTAGATCTTAAGGAAGGTACTTTCAAAATGTCATACCTACATTTTCATAAAACAAAACTAAAAATAACGAAATAACATATAAACTGAACAAGGCATCCCTATAAAAACAAGTACTTTCATTTTTATTGAGAAAACGTCTGTATGTCTTTAATCTCAAAACCTTTTGTCCTCCTTCATAACATTCACGTCCAAGATCTATCTATCATCCTTCTTTCAAGTTTCAAAAACTGAAACCAATAAAAATGAAAAAAATAAAACCGAATAAAATATCTCGATGAATTTGATTTAAACTGGAGAAGATACAAGTTTTGTGTCGCTATGGATCTCGTTCCAATTACCTCAGGATAGACTATGAACGCCAGTCCTGCACCCTGATCGACCACAGACGCAACCGGGACATTGAGCTCGTGGGCCAGGAACCCGATCACAGAGAAAATTACGAAGCCAGCAAAGAAGGACGTGCCGATATTGCTGACAGCGACGATCAACGAGTCCTTGTAGCAATTGTTGGTGAATTTGTTGTAAGAGCTGAGCGTTATCAGACCGCCCCAAGCAGGGCTCAGGGCGAAGAAGATCTGCACAGCGGCGTCACCCCACACTTTCGCGGACATTAGCCTTTTCCAATCGGGCGTCAGATAAAAGAGAATGCCCTCGTTGGCGCCGGGAAGCAAAATGCCCCGAATGAAAAGAGCGATCTGCGAACAAAAAAGGTGTTCTCCGTTTACGATTCCCCATTTCTCGTATGTCCTCTCAGGTCAAGGAAGAAGTGAAACAAAGAAGAGGGAAGAATCATTCGATCCTGTGAAACTGGTGTCATCTAGAGCAATTAAAGAAAGGTGTAATAAAAATTGTCTTGATAGGGATTAAATTAAAGTGAATAATTTAGTTAGTTAATTGTGTAGTTTCTTTTAAATAATTAAATAATTTTGTAGGATATTTTTAGGGTTCAAAAGTGAGTGCATGGGAACGCTTGGGTTTGCCTCGAAAATAAAGGATAATGAACAGCAACCTTGGGTTCGGTTCGAGCGTTCAGGATAATATTTGGAGTGTGTGCGAAAGGACAAATGATTGCGAGCAAGGATTAGTATGGACGGGATATTTATAACTATATAGAGTGCGAAAAACAAGCGAAAGTTTAGGGATGCGTCTGAGTGTATGAAGTAAGATAAAGAAGGTAGATAAAGAAGGGAGACGGTAGGTTTAGAACAAGGGTACAAGAATGCGGGCGAGTGAGTGTGAAGTGTAAAGTAGAGTATGTCCAGAGTCAGAGAGATAGTCAGTGTGTACGCAGAATGTTTAGTTAAGTATTATCATTGTGTTAGCGTTGAAGAATTAGACTAGCCTTTAAACTATACCAAGTAATAGTTCATATTCTAAATATACATTATCGTTATTAATCCAAAACCGTGTTATTATTCTTGTCCATGCCCTTT